AACCACACAAGCATTCAGGCAGTCACTGAGGGGTATGCCCAGGAAAGTTCTTGCTAGGGCTGGCTGGGGGAAGTAGCCCCAAACCCTCATTCAAGTATACTGTGCTTTGACCTCTGGCAGACACTCAAAAAACCTGCCATGTGAATACTTAAATCTAGGCATGAGATGAAGCTAAGCTCAGCTGGGCTGGAGTCATTCACAAGCAAAAAGCCTTGAGATTTCAAACCTTGTTTTTCCTTCACTACCCACATATTTGTGATCCTAGAACATAGGACACATTCAAATAGCTATAAGACACCTGACACTAAACCTTTGTTTATTATGCTGGTGGGTCCACACGGTGGGTGGTAGGAATATTCTTAGAAACCATTCCTCCTCTGGGACAGCTGGTAACATCTTAACTATGTAAAGCATACTCCACTAAACTCAAACCAAATGTAATCAACCCTAATTCAATTAACCCTTGCGTTAGAGCTTAAATTCTAACACACTTGGTTTGTAGACGACTGTGGTCTACAGCAGGAGTCCTACCTGCATTTTGAGTCTTGATACATGTTCAGCTGCCATTTGAGTTCTGTGTGTTACTTCCCTAGTGCCTGTTGGCCATTAAACTAACATTGTGCCCATTCTTAGACAAATCCAGGCAAGCCAAGGAAAATGCAGTTTGCCCCAGCAAGATTGTAGTTGAAAGCAGACTGACTAGATTGCAGAGAGGTTCTCACACAAAGAACTAGGAACTTGCTCCTACATTCACCAAAAATAGACAATCAGACACATGTTATCTAATTTAAGTTAAAGGTTGGGGTCCTGGTGTTGTCTTATAACCACCCCGTGACTATGATTAAGAGTCTCATCATCATAAGTTATACCATGACCACCATATTGCCAGGTAATCAAACCCTAGAATCAATCCTGTAAATGTTTCTAGTTTACAATTGTTGTTGCTGTTGTTAAATGCCTTTGAGTCGGTTCCTATATAGCAACTCTATATAGGGTTTCTGAGTAGTGGTTGGTAAGTTTGAACCGCCGACCCTGTGAACCAACTTTGAGGTCCAGTGCTATATTCCACAATGCCACACCAGGACTCCAGCCTACAATTGTTGTTGTTGATAAGTGCCATCGAGTCGGTTCTGACCCATAGTGACCCTGTAATCCTGTATAGGGTTTCCGAGGAGTAGCTAGTGAGCTTGAACTGCCAACCTTGAGGTTCAAACTGATTTTGCAGGCCAACACATTAACCCACAGCGCCATACAAGGACTCCAGCCTACAATTGAGTATGTATTTAATCATGGTTCTTTCTCTGCTACTGTTAGCCCCACTTGCCTTAGTAATGGATTGACCTGCCACCAATAATCATGATCTTGTGATGATTTCTTTTGTATAATGAACACCATGACTGTGATTCATAGGATTCTGTTAGTCTCTGTACTGGCTCCATGCTGACAGTTTCTCTCATTTGGATGATAAATGTTTGTTTTTTTAAATCTTTGTACTGTTTAAGAATTAATAAAAAGATGGCTCTGTAGGATCAACAATGGACTGGTAACCACAAGTTCAGCACTTTGAGACCACCAGCTTCTCCTCAGAAGACAGATGAGGCTTTCTTGTTCTTTAAAGTTTTAGGGCCTTGGAAACCCTACACAGGATTGCTGTGAGTTGGAAACGACTCAGTGGCATTTAACAACAAGGGCATAGAACATGTTTGAATCTGGGTCTTTTTCCCAGAGCACACCCTTAGCTAGATTTCAAAAACGCATACTAGCCACTTCAGTTAAGTGCTATCCAGTAGGTTCTGACCCACTGTGACCCTGTGTAGGGTTTCTGAGGGAGCTTGAGTGAGCTTGAGCCGATTTTGCTGCGCAGTGCATTAACCCACAGTCCTATACCAGAATTCTCCTCAACACGACTTTGTTGTTAAGTGCTGTTGAGTCGATTCTGACTCATAGCAACCCTGTATAGACAAGGGGAAATGTTATAGAAAGGAAATCTGTGAGGAAAGAATTAGCAGGTGAAAGATTGCAGTTAAAATATCCTTTACAGAATTTACAAAAAGGGTTCCCAAAGCTAACCCATCACTAGCTTCACAGTAAATCTGCCTCAGGGTTTGGCACCGTTCTAATCACAGGGTAAATTTGTCAGTTTTTATAAGCAGCTAGCTGTAGGGCCAATGGAGACATGGAATACAGTTCAATTGAGGCAAACATATTCCAGCTGAAAGAGATCTTTGCCTCTTATGTCAAACTGCTCCCAGCTGTTGGTTTTCATTAGTGATTCACCAACCTTTTGGTCTTAAAAATTATTGAGGACTCCAAATAACTTTTATGTGGATTAGGAATTAAAACACTTAAAATATGTGCTTATTAATTCATTAATAAACAACAACAATAAACCTATTTATTACGTTAACATAAGTAACATTTATAATGACTAATGATATTTTCCAAAGCAAAAATAATTTACTGAGAAGAGTAACATTATTTTGCATTTCTGCAAATCTCTAAAGAGTCTCAATCTACTTATTCATTAGATTGTGGTGACTGTGTGCCATGGAGTTGGTTCCGACTCATAGCGAACCTGAACAGGGCTTCCAAGGCTATAAATCTTTATGGGAGCAGAATGCCTCATCTTTCTCCCGCAGAACAGCTGGTAGTTTCGAACCGCTGACCTTGAGGTTCGCAGCCCGATTCGTAACCACTACGCTACCAGAGCTCCTTTCATTAGATTGTAGCCTCTGGAAAACACCAGAGCTGTCATGAAAGATTGAGAAGGAAAAAAACCAAGTAAACTTTTAGGAAGAAAATCATTTTGACCAGGTGGACTCGCTGACCACATGTTGAGAAGCACTCATTTAACACCACATCAAGTCCTGCTCCTCGGAAACCCTACACAGGGTCACTATGAGTCAGAACAGACTTGAAAGCACTAAGCAATGTCAACTTTCTGTTGACCTAGGTGGCAGTTCAAACCAACCAGCCACTCCTCAGAAGTCCTACACAGGGTGGTTATGAGTTGAAAGTGACTGGTGGTGGTGGTGGTGGTGGTTATGAGCCGTGGAGTCGGTTCCGACTCATAGCGACCCTGTACAGGGTTTCCAAGGCTGTAAATCTTTATGGGAGCAGAAAGTCTCATCTTTCTCCCGCGGAACAGCTGGTAGTTTCGAACTACTGACCTTGCAGTTCGCAGCCCAATTCGTAACCACTATGCTACCAGAGTTCCTTGGAAGTGACTAGAAAGCACTAAACAACAGTCATGTGGTAAATGCTCAACATTCACTACCCAATTTCTCATTATAAATATATATCGCTGCTGTTAAGTGCTGTCCAGTTAGTTGAACTCATGTCGACTCATGTACAACTGAGTACAACTATTGTGATCCATAAAGTTTTCAATAGCTGATTTGAAAAGATTGAAGTTGTCAAGGACTTCATTCTTCTTGGATCAACTTTCAACACTCATGGAAGCAGCAGTCAAGAAATGAAACGACATATTGCACTAGGCAAACCTGCTGCACAAAACCTTTCTAAAATGTTGAAGAGGAAAGATGTCAACTTGAGGACTATGGTGCACCTGACCTAAGCCATGGTATCTTCAATAACCTCATATGCATGCAAAAGCTGGACAGTGAATAAGGAAGACCCTAGAAGAATTGGTGCTTTTGAGTTATGGTGTTGGAGAATATTGAAAGTGCCATGGGCTGCCAAAAGAACCAACAGATCTTTGTTGGAAGAAGAGCAGCTTGAGTGCTCCTTGGGGGCCAGGATGGCCAAACTTCGTCTCTCATACTTCGGACATATTGTCAGGAGGGACCAGTCGCTGGAGAAGGATATCATAATTGATAAGGTGGAGGGTCAGAGAAAAAGAGGAAGACCCCTAATGAGATGGATTGGCCAAGTGGCAGCATCAATGGACTCAAGCGTGACAACAGTAGTGAGGTTGGCCCAGGATCGGGCAGTGTTTCATTCTGTTGTGCATAAGGTCGGTATGAGTCAGTACCGACTCGATGACACCTAACAACAACAAGGCCTTTCTTCCTACAAACAACAAAATCCAACCCAACCCACTGTCACTAAGTCGATTCTGACTGTATGACAGAGGTACTATTGCCATTTCAAGGAGCTCTGGTAGCGTAGCGGTTACGAATTGGACTGCAAGGTCAGCAGTTCGAAACTACCAGCTGTTCTGCGGGAGAAAGATGAGGCATTCTGCTCCCATAAAGATTTACAGCCTCGGAAAACCTATACAGGGTCCCTATGAATCGGAACCGACTCCACGGCATACAGCCACAGCCATTTCAATTTTACAGATGAGGAAATAGACACCGAGAGGTTGTTAATATCCAACGTTTTAGGTGGGATTTGAATTTAGATATCCGACTCTTGGGAATCCTGCTGTGGGCTGTAGGATAAGCACTAGATTGCTCAAGCGCGGCAGTTCAAACCCACTAGCTGATCCTTGGAAATACTATACCGGGTGGTGATGATTCGGGACCAACTCAACAGCATCCGACTCTCGAGCCCTAAGTCCATTATCGTTTGATAAACTATAAAGGCGGTTCATATAAAAAGATCTGAGAGGTGTGTGAGGAAGGTTAGTGTGGCAAGAATCCTCGGGGCAGACCGCTGAGGTAACAAGTCTGTATTATTTTCCTACTCTAGGTCTCCTTTCTGTGGTCTTAAGTTCCTTCCTTTTTTTTTTTTTTTTTTATGGTAAGGACATTTTCTGAAGATATTTAAGTGCCGGTGGCTCTGTTGCTTGGGCTTGACGCTAACCCTAAAAAAAAGGCGCAAAAGAACCTGAGAAAAAAAGAACATAAGTAACCAAGGTAACGGTAGCGTGGCGAGAACCTTGCGCAGGCGCGTTACATCCCAGTCCCGCTCGACCCCACCCACGCCAGCCTGAGTCCCTCTAGGTTTTTGACTGTGCGGCTGGTGGGGAGTACGGGTGTGGGCCGGGGGTGGGGACGAGAGGGAGGTTGGGTTTGGGCGCCTGCGCAGTCGCTGGGGCGCTGGTGTGATCGAGCTCACGTAGAGAGGGTAGCTGTCGCCTCCTCCTTCGCGCTGCCGTCGCGGCCTAGAGGTTATAAAAGGGCTAACTGGCTCCCTCTGCTGCCCAGTTGCGCCGCCAGCGGGCCAAGGGAAGGGTGAGTGTAGGTAACCCGAGCGCCCGAGACCGGGGAGTGAAGAGCGCGCCGCCTTCCCGTCCCACTTCTCAGGTGAGCCTTTCCCCCGACCTTGGGGACTGAGGCTGAGGCCCTCGGGCAGCCGTGACCCGTCTTGGACGACTATGCTATCTGGTCCCAACCCTTTCTGCTGCGATGGCTCGGGGGTGGGGATTCCCCAGTTGACCACAGCAACCTTAGTATCTTCTCCTCGGAAGACCTGGCCCCTCGCCCAGCACCCCCGGATCCTTGGTGCCCCAGAGGCCCGGATGCCCTTCCTCCAACTCCGCTTTCCACCTCCGCGCCCGTCCGCGCCTCCGACCGTTAAGGCTGCGGCAGAGCCTCTCTGTCCCCGCCCCGGGGACCAGGACTTTCTTGAATATTCTTTCCTGGGAAGGGATCGCCCTGTTGTTTTTTTCCGGAGCTCCCGCATACCTGGTCCTCCCTACAAAGCTTGGGGGAACGTGAGGGCGGGGCGTGGGGGTTTGGGCTTGCACAGCGGCAGATGTTAACATGTGGCAATGGAAAGCGGGTTTTAAAGTTTAGAACTCCAGCCACTTTTGCCCAATTGAAAAGTCGATCCACCCAGAGGAGTTCAGGCTGAGTTCATCTGTTGCACGCGGCGCTGCTACCTCGGCAGCTAGACGTCGCCCGGGGCGGCGGGTTTCGGGCAGCAGGCGCGGAGGAAGTCCGCTGTCAGATCTCTGAGTCGTCGGGAAAGCCAGCCTTCTTTCTCCCCTCTACGTTCCGTACTTAAAAAAAAAAAAAAAGGCACATGGGCTTCTTTTCCTTTTCTTTAAATGCAGAGTTCACAGCTTTTAGAATGCGCTTCAGCACACCAAATTCTATGGCGGTGTGAGCGTTTGCACTTGAATCATTTGCCATTTGCCTGGCTTCCAGATGTATTTTAGGGGGAAGTAGGATGGTAAGAGAAGTGTTGAGATCATTTCTCCTGAATAATCGACTCTATTAACTACAATCCAATTTTTAGATACTAACACCTTATGCGGTCCGGATAGTGTGGAGAAGACTCTTGGAATGTTGCCCAGTTTTCTTTAAAAAAAAAAAAAAATGAAGAAGCTAGATCTCCTTTTAGGAACGGATCTAAAAGGCCAAGGAGATTTGCCAATTTCAACTTAACTGTTTCTGGTTCCTCCAAGAGCTCTGGCTCTTGGACTTTTCCTTTTGGAATGCACTCGAAGGGAATCGCCGCTACGTGAGTGGGGGAGGGGAAAAGACGTGGCAGCCCTGTGTTCTTTCATTAAGTTTTTGCTCATTTCTTAAGGTTCTGGAAAGAAATACAGTTCTTCTTGTAGCTTTAGATATAGCTTATGAACCAGGCTAGTGTTTTTTTTTTTTTTAAAGACTAAATCAGATGAAAAATTCGTTCTGCATAGAAGACTCATTGGGAGGTAATTTGAAAAATATATTTTTTAAAGAGATTAAAAAAAAAATCAAGTTTCTAGGAAGAAAATGGATACCTTAAGCAGGAAATATCTAAGAAGCAGAAAGGTTAACAACCCTGAATATGTTTTGCTTTGATTTGAAATTTTAACAGAGCTTTAATGATTTTTCTTTAACTGACTTTTAGCCTGTGAGTGTCGTTTTCAGAATCTTAAATATGAGATAGAAATTTTACCTTTGTTTCTGTAGGAAACAGATTTATTTTCTTTTTAGGAAGCAGATTTTATCACAACTTTGAAAGTCATGTCAATTTAGGTTTTGGAATCATGTGCCTTATGTCCTGCAAGTGTTTTAGATAACGGAAGGCAAGTTTATAACATAGAGTAACTAGGAAAGGAGTCCTGGTGTGGTGCTGTAGAATACGCACTGTCCTGCTAACCACAAGTTGCTGGTTCAAACCCACCAGCTGCTTTTTGGAAGCCCTAAGTGCTATGTGTTGGCACTTAACAACCACCACCACTACGGAAAAATACAGCTTTGTCTCTTTTAGATGTGTAATGTGTTTTCATTGACATCTATCTATAGAGGGTTTTATTTTGAAATACTGAAAGGGAGGGCTTCTGTAATTGCATTGACCATGTTTTTAAATTTGGTAACTATGGTAGTAAAATAGATGAGAAAAAAATATGTGCAATTTAAAAACTTGCAAAAATTTTTCCTAGGTGTTCAGAAAGCTATTGGGAAAAGCTTTGTGTCACTTTGTAGACTAGGGTCTTGCAGGTGAACCCTGTCTTTGGTAAGGAGATGGGAGATGTCAGCCTTTTTTATTATTGCAGAGTTGATGGTGTGTTGAAAAGCAGTGTCTTCCATAGGGCAATCCATTCCTAATTTCTGCTTTTATTTCAGGGGTGCAAATAGGAGTTGGGACAGACATAAAGCTGTGAGCCTTAATTTCTGTGGAAGGAATGTCTTGTTTTACAATTGCCAACTAGGATGTGATTATTGCCCTAAGAGTAGAAATCTGTAAGAAACAAGGTAGTGGTTCACACTCTATTTTGGGGTCATGAAATCCTTTGAAAATGTGATGAAAGGTGTGAACCCTGAGTCACAAAATGCAAGAATGCACATCTACATAAAATTGTATATCCCATTTACAGACAACCCTGTCCCCAAAACCATAAGAACCCCTAAAAAGTAAAAATATATGAGGCTAATATGTAAGGATATCAGGACATACTGAGGTGGTAATTCTTTAATATTATGGAAAATTAACATGGGTTTAGAAGTCACACTGGGCTTGAGTATATTGTTGTGAAGTGCCATTGAGTTGATTCCGACGCATAGCGACCCTGTATAGGGTTTCCAAGGAGCAGCTGGTGATCTTGAACCACCGAACCTGCAGTTCAAATGACTTCGCAGTCTGATGCATTAATTATCCCATAGCGCCACACCAGGACCTTAATAAAATTTTTGCTAACAGAATTTTAACGTAAGTTAGTTGGTAGAAGAATTTTTGAATTGTTCAAATTGTCTAGGCAAAGAAAGTACATTGACCCGTGTGTGACACCCATATGTGAGGGGCTTCAAAACAGTCATGGACAAAATGGAATTCGGTGATAAAAGAACTTTTCCATCAACTTTTGAAATCCCTTAGTATTTTTGTTTTTTCATCTGAAAGTGTAATAGGTTTGAAGAGAAACAAAAATACATTGGGGATTACACTTTATTTCTCTTCTTACATCTTGAATCCTATGCTTAAACTATAATGATGTGTGTATGTATAATATGTTAATCAATGAGACAAGTCACAATGTGTATATACACTTATGTACAATAAAGCTATGGCTTTATTCATGTATCTACTCAATGAGTTTTGTTTGTATAAATTGAAACTATATCCTGTCATTTGTTTTCCCTCTAGCCAAATAAATATTGTTCTTCAATAAAAAATTTGTGAAACTTAAAAGGATTCTAATTTAGGTTACACAGCAGTTTTACATTTTAATGTAATGAGAGATGCTTTTTTCTCTTGTGTGTTTTTGTGTCATCAGTTTGGTTCTTACTGTGTTTGCTTAGATATTGGCAAAAAGTGAAGTACGGAGATTCATGCTTTCATATCAAAGTAATATATTCAGCCTTTCTCTTTTATTTGGGCATTTGGGGATGTGAAATCCTTTGAGAATCTGATGGAAAAGTGTGAACACTGTTTAAAAAATGAAAAGACAAGCTGCAGACTGGGAGAAAGTATTTTTTGTACTGTATATCTGACAGGATATATGAGGGTAAGTCAAAAAGTGTTGCTGCAATATTTGTTGTTAGGAGCTGTCCAGTCAGTTTCAATTTATAGCAACCTTATGCATAACAGAACGAAACACTGCCCAGTTCTGTGCCCTCCGCACAGTTGTTAAGCTTGAGCCCATTGCTGCTGCCACTGTGCCAATCCATTTCATTAGGGGCCTTCCTCTTTTTTGCTGAACCTCCACTTCCAAGCTTGATGTCCTTCTCCAGGGACTGGTCCCTCCTGATAATATGTCTGAAGTATGAGAGACAAAGTCTCACCATCCTGAATTCTAAGGAACATTCTGGCAGATTTCTTCCAACACAGTTGTGACCATTGCAATTAGTCATGAAAGCAATTACTATTGAATCATAAGAATCCTGTCCCCATCTCCTTTCACCAGACTCATCTAGACAAGATGAAAACTATTCAGTGTGGATTCTACCCCCCACACCTCCCCCTTTGCAACTCTGAAACTAAATAAGCCAGCAGCCAGTCACTGCATGCCTTTATAACCCCTCCTCCCCCCATCTTTAGGTAGCCAGTGTCTTAAGTTGCCCATCCTTATCAACCTTATGTACAGAGGGGGGATATGTTTGATCCTTGATGTGAAGACTCCTTCTCTCAGTTGGTATTTTGAGCTAAGGAGCTCTGGTAGCGTAGTGGTTACGAATCGGGCTGCGAACCTTAAGGTCAACAGTTCGAAACTACTAGCCACTCTGCAGGAGAAAGATGAGGCTTTCTACTCCCGTAAAGATTTACACCCTCGGAAACCCTGTACAGGTCGCTATGGGTCAGAACCGACTCGATGGCACTTAACAACAACAAACACATGTATAGGTTAAGTTCATCAAAACTGTAGCAATTTATATTTGTTTACTTGATCAGATTTATTTATCTTCCTCTGTTGGAGTTCTGATCATCAGGCAATCAAAGCTAGGTTAAATGGGCAAGTTTAGGTTAAGATGCTGTAAGTTTGGGCGTTCTTGTGCATCTCCCCTCACTTCATACTAGCTGGATGTGTCGGTCTCGGCTCTAGCCCTCTGTGGCTAGGTCCTTGTCCATGAGCTTAGGAGTCCTCAGGTTCTCACCACACTTTGGACCAACCAACCCTTCTATTTTTTTCTCATTTCCAGGTCAGTGGGAGTCTGTGGAACATTGTTGAACTCAGCCCATATTTTCTTTGTTGCCTTTCCCCCTCTTCCACTCACCAGTAGACCAGTGTAGTCACCAGCCAGCTTACATGCCTGCTCGTGTGTTCCCTTTGAGTTTCCGTCTTAGAGGGGGGTTTGTCCTGAAGGGACTTGATTAATTGTCTTGATGACTTCCTGGCAAACAACTTGCTTGTTCTTGTAGTGACCACTTTCTGAAG